ATTTTGGTTGGCATCTGAACTCTTATTTGGGGGTAGAAGTGAAGGAGGGAGGTTCACATTCCCCAATGTTTTCATATCAATTTGCTTAGTTAGAAACTGAGATTTTTCACAGAAAGGAATAGGTTAAATTGATCCCATCCATTTTCCCTAAAATTAGCAATATCATTTACTATATATTTTTCCAGATGATAGAAGCAAATGCAATAAAAATAAACTTTTACTGTGTGTTAATAATTATGTTACAAAGCTATTCACGTATTCTTTCCCAAGAGACTCTCAAAACAACATTATGAGGTAGAGAGAAAGCTCTGCAATCTTAAAATGATTCATCAGAATGCTGAAAACTTAGTTTTTCTTTGTTCTAAAGACCTAGAGCCACATTTTAACTTGGTTCTCCTGAATTCAAGTCCAATGTTCTTTCTACTGGATTTTGTATCATGCTCGAAATAATTCAAAATAGGTTTAGGTCCACTAAAACCCCTTCAAAGATCCTCCATTGCAAAATAGCAATTTATTTTCATTGCTTTTTGCCAGATTTCCTTTAAATCTATTCAAAATTTCTTAAGGTTTGGGGGCCAGATCAAATTAGATTACTTGTTTAAAGAGAAAGGATTTAAGAATACCAAAGAACATCCAGAGGATGAATTCAAAAAATTTTTTCATACTATAATGAAAAATTTAATCCCCGATGGAAATACGGTATTTCTTAATATTCCCAAATAATATAAGAGGACAATTCAAACCAATAGAAAGTGAAAACTGGCTTCCATTTGAAGATGGTGGATTAAACACATCCATGTAACTATACAGATCCACAGACGAAAAATATATACCAAAAAATTACGTTACAAACTTTTTTAAAGGGTGCCAGGGAAAGTTAAAAGACTGAAGAAATCCTAGAACAGAAAATCACTGAAACTGAACTGACTGAAAGTTTTGAGAAACTCAAGATGAGAAATGAGAAACCAACAAGCTAGAGATACTGACTTGGAAGACTATTATGTGTTGTTAGGTGAAAAACGCAGTCTGGAGGACAGGATGACCCAATTTCTTAAAACATAACATTCGAGGGTATCAATGTTTCTGTCTTCCTAGGAAAAAGCTCTAGACATATCCACGCAAATTCCAGTAAGAAAGAAAATGACAGAAGGTAGAAACTGTCATTTTTACTCATTGGATTTTGTAACTGATCTTTCTGAAAATTGGTTTTTAGAAATAAAAAATAGATTTAAAAATGCAAAACTGTCAAAACTAAAATAGATGTTACCACCAATAGAAACTGGCTCATTTATATTTGGTGTGTCCCCAGTGCTCTAGAGGTCAAGTGAACAGAATTCAGTGACTGCTTTAGGTGAACGCAACAGACAAGAAGGCTGTTCAACAAGCATCTTACTAGCATTGACCATCTACATGAGAGGGAGCTTTTGGGGGCAACAAGAAGTGATTGGTTTGCTTCCAATAACCCAAAATGTCAAACACAGCATTACAGTATATTCAAATAGTTTAAAATGTTTATTAAACACAGGAAAACAGGTGAATGGAGAGGTAAGGAACCAATGATTCATTTTCATCTTTAACAATAAAAACTGAGCCAAAACACGTAACCCTGGTAAAAATGATACACTAGCATCTTGTAATAATTAAAGCTGTAAGTTCCTGACATTTATACCATTTGGTTCTTGAAGTCACATTTTTCAGCTCTTCAAGAAAAAAGATTAAAAGAAAGAGAAAACCATTTTTCAAAAAAATTTCAATAAAACCTGCTCTTGGTTAAATAACTGTGACATACAAAAACAGACTTTCTCTAAGTATCCATTTTGAGAAAAATAAGCAGTAATCAGGCTCTGTCTTGAAGGAATACTGGGGTATTTGGCAGCAATCCCCCGTTCCATCCTAATAAACCCGTGTCACAGGCTCATCATGGAGAAGAGAACCTTACACCCAGTCTGACCGCTGGGTCACTCCATGGGTGCCGCTGTCCTGCTGTGTCCATCAGTCTCGGGCTTTAGCTCTCCCCACACGAGTAAGTAAAACACTATCAATCAACTCAGAGACGTGAAAGAACATACTGTGTTGGCAAAAATCACCATGCACTTTTGTTTTGTGTCCTTTGCACGTGCTTTGCGATTGCCTGAAAGAGTACACGGAGGTCCCACGATGCAGAGGGAGCACCCAGTTTGGTTAGAGCCAGGGAAACCTGGGGTTCTTACTGCTCTGCGACGGAAGTGTGCCTGTTAACTCTGAGGGACTCTGTTTCTTTCATCTGTAACATCAGGGGAGCAACCATGCATACAATAAAGGGCTCTAGTGAGATGAAGACAAAAGCACGTGAAGCAGTGAAGATCATCAATGGCACAAACCTAATTAGATGCTAGTTCCCTTTTCCACGCGCTTGCATGCACACATCGCTGCTTTAGGATGAAAGAGACAGCAGTTACTCTCCCACTTGCTAGCTTAATTACTGGGCACAGTTTTAATCTCGCTGCCTCAGTTTCCTCTTCCATACAATAAGGACAATAGCAGTGTCTGCATAGGGTTATTCACAGATGAAACGCGTTAACATCTGCAAAGCTCCCAGAATACTGCTTGGAATGCGGTAAGTGCTACGGACGTTTTGGCTGTTGGCCATCGTCATCTTCACTGGCTAGAGGAGGATGTGAAATCTCCATGTGTAAATCACACCTACGAGGTAACTCTGGGCTTGGCTGAAGTCACTGGGCTTGAGGGACCCTCTGCCAGGAGTGTTACTCTTCAAAGAGGCATCCTGTGTTACTTATTTTAAAAATACGTGGAGCCAGAGCAATGATCTGTTTCTTTCAACAAATGGAGATCAACGGTAAACCACTCAGGCACTGTGAATCTAGCTGGTCACTGAAGAGACAAGTTGGATATTAAGATACACGTCCTTTTCGTCTCATGAAGCTTCAATAAATCACAATGAACAAACACATCTTCTCATCGCAACTGGACTCAGATCACAGCAGCCCGGGATTACGGTCCATCCAATGTGCTGGCCCTTCCTGCGGGACAATTCTGTTTCTCAGTTCCCTCTAAGACAGGCTTTGCCCTATGGTAGGCACTAGCCAACGAAATACGAATGGAAGTGACAATGTTTTATCCAGCAGCCACGAAGGGCTGGCATGTAGTAGCCTTCTCCCCTCGGGCACAAGATCAACAATGTTATAGAGAGAGGTTACTCCATGAACGTGGGTTTGAGATTAAAAATATGAAGAGACTCACAGCTGAGCTGAATGGACATACAGCATGATCAAGAAACGCACCTTTACTGTGGTTAAGCCTCTGAGACCACAGCATTACCCGGCCAGCTCTGATCTAACGATGCACAACAGTTTGCTATGGCAAAAAGGACTAAATGAAATAAAGCCAATCCCACATGCTTAGCTCTTCCCTGCTTAATTGAAATGTATCTGGGGGGTTTTTTTTGTTTGTTTTTTTTAAGCTACTGACTTGACAAGTCTTATAAAAAGGCAGCAAAGGGCAGTAGCAGCAGTGCCCCACCAGGGCTGCCTTACAAACGACCACGCAACAGTGCCTGGCGCAGGCGCCCAGTGCTTTCTGCTGAGCTCTCTCTGTCTCCCAGTGACTGACGAGGAGCGGTGCTTCTGCGGGCAGCCAGCGGCGAGCACGTTCTGCAAAGGGCACTTGCCAGCCTTCCAAAGCCACGAAGGGCTTACTACACTTAGTATGTTGGCGCTAATGAGAATTCCACAAGAACAGGTCACTATAGTTTAACAAAGACAAACAGGGGAACGCCTTCGTATCCCAATGAAATGTCAATGGAAGGAGTTCTCCCTACGTCAGATCACAGCGTTATAGGCTGACATCACGGTTCTCTAGTGGAGGGCAAGTGCTCGAGGGGAGCAGACCCCTCAGTATGAAACATGGATCGACCGCTGGATCAGGGCTCGGGGCCGGGCCCAGAGCCGGCAGCCAACAAATGCTTAGTGGTGGGTGGCTTGCCAGTCACTGCTTTGTACCTGGCTTCCTCAAGCGCCCTCTCTGACGGCTTCTACGAGGGTTGGAGCTTATCAGCTAACTTTGGTCGGTTCCCTCCCAGGGCCCTTGCCCAGTGCCTGTATCTCTCCGTAGAGAGGACCAGAGAGACAGGCAGAGCACAACTACCACTAACTCCCCGGCACTGAAACCCGACAATCCTGTAACCTTAGTGATCCTTGGCCTAAGGGTAAAGCAGGAGAAAGGCTGACTTAAAGAACTTAATTTATTCAATCAAAAGTCAAGTATAAACATTATTTTTTTCCTCCAGAAACTATTCAGGACTAAAATTTTTATTGAAACCCAAATAAAGTTTCCATAAAGCAGTTTAACAGCACAAAAGCTATTAATCTCAACAGAATTCAAACAGCCATGAGGGGAAAAAAAAAAAGAAAGGAAGGAAGGAAAAGTCTTCCATACATCCAACAAAGCCAAAGTCCTTGTACCTTCAGCTTCCTGGTCATTAAAAAGCCAGATGTCATCTACTTGTATTTATAGTACACGCTCAGGGTTGTCAGAACAAAGCAACACTTGTCCTTATTTCCATATTAGCATTCCTAATCTTGCATTTAAGATTAAAAGGCCCTCATTATAGACAACCAGTATTATACTACCTGTGGCTTAAACAGAAAAAAAAAAGAGAGCATTTATTGACGTTCGTCATTTGCATAGGACCTTTTCTCTTCTAAAGGATGAGCAGTATGTGTCCAGAGCTCTGGCCCAAACCGGTCTTTCCTTCTGCTCTGCTCTGCCCATGAAGAGAACCCACTTCCGGGTCTCAGTGGTGAAAACAAAACTGTTTGATCAGAGGCCTTGAGGAGAACGTACTGAATTGAAGGAGGGGGATGTA